ACTACACATTACTCTGATTGTATACCGATATTTCGTCAAGGAGTAGTTCATATACCCGATACCAAGATATTTAGTAGTATTCGCTGGTATTCCTTAGATCTTCTAGGAAGTCTTTTGGCATTCCCAAATTATCCTTTTAGTTTTTAATACTAGATGAAACACCAAATGCCGAAACCCTACCACGTTTCCACGTATAACCGCGGGCGGTATCATAAAAAAAATCCACATTAAGAAACATTTGATTTTTTATTATTAATAGGAAACGTATATAAAATAATACAATAAAACGCGAAAAAAGTACAGTTAATCAAAAAATCATTAGTACGCGCTCTAGAAAGTGTCCCATGCATCCTATTTTTTGCATTCCTTTTCCCTAGCTTTTTCCCGATTAAATTGATATATCACAACCTATATTTTTTTTTAATTTTATCCGTAAATTAAACCTTTTTTTACTGTTTCTAAATAGTAGGCTATGGATTTATGGAGATTTTGATTGGCTTATTGTATTCATAAGGCAACCGGTACCATTCAATAAAAATGGCCACTAAGTACAAATATATCGATTTTTATCTTTTTTCTATGTTACATGGATAGTAAGATATGGTAACGTCCCCAAAAGTCAAACTTTTCCTTTTCCCCTGTATCTCAGAAGAAAACGTGGCTAGATTGATTCTGTTTGTGGTATTAAAAGTTTCACAAGAAGTGACACAGGGTCGCGAAAACCGCAAGTCTTAAAAACAGCTGAAATACACTGCAGTTTCAATCAAAATAGGACACACGGTACAATTAAATTTTATAATTTGCAAACTTCGGGTCGGGCCGCATGTTTGACATGCCTGGTACAGGATGATACATAACAAATGCATCAAACGTGTTACTAATTGTCTAAACCAAAACAAAACCACTTCCTTCAATTGAAAAATATTACAAAACGACTAGAAACAAAACGTTTTCACTTGTTATTGTCATGGCCTATTAAATATAATTTTAATTTTGTTAATGGAATGAAATAATTTTTGATTGAACATGATAGCGCTTTCCCAAGCGAATTGAGTCGTGTATCACTGGTTTAAAGTTGACGGTAATATTTTATCTTCAAGTGGTCTACAAACAACCCCATTCTGAGGCATAATCCAGTTTTAATATTGCTTAATTTTTAAGAAATCGCACTTAGCGATCAACGAACTATTGCAAGGGCCCTAACTTTTTGGTGCATCAAATAATATCTTTGTTTCGTAGATTGATTATTTTACAGGGTCGACAAACAACTCTGTAACGTTTCATAACAGTGTATTCGCTTCCCGGTTTAGAATTAGATAAATTTTAAAAGAAAGTCGATTAACAAGGGAAACATCTAATAATTTCAAGATTCCTAACTAGCCAGGTCCATTCAATCTAATAATATAATCGACAAGCGCCCCTACAACTTACTGTACATAACAGTATATTCCATCGCCGTTTAAAAACAATATAATTTAGAAGGAAATTCCCTTCATGGTAATCTTCAGGGGCTGTAACCTTCTTGACGCATCAAATATTTTTCTTTCGTGGATTTATGTTGGATACAGTGTCCACAAATAACATTACATAAACGTGTATTTTCCGGTTTTAAAATTACACATGTTTAAAGAATAGTGCCTTTTCGTTATAATCGCCTAATTACCTATTTCAGGGGGAGGGGGTCCTTTTGTAGTGCATCAAATACGTTTATTTCTTGGAAATGTTTACAATTTTACATTTTACTTTTTTAGTCCAGTCCAACGGTAATAGCATATATGGACAGTTCTGGTGTAATCGTTTTTAGTGGTTTATTTTATGGTTTTTGGGTGTACTACAGGCCCCGGGTTACAGATTATATTTTTTTCATTACATATGGGCTTGTGCCTATTTATCATTCAACGTTTGGAGGTACTAAAAAACTGTTTATTTCTGCCAGTGGGTCATTCCGTTCCTCTGTGGTTCTTGGGGCATTTTGTTTCAAAATCAATACAGATAAGTATTCCTATGAAAGCTCGGGCACAAAATACGCAACTAAATCTAATAGTTAACTATTATCAATGACTATCCTCCTCATAGTCTTTTAATTATCAACATTAGTTACGGTGGTGCCGAGATAAATGTAGCTCAGGGCGCTAAAAACATAGGCCGGAGCCTGGTATGCTAAACATTAGTTTGTCGGTGTCGGACTCTTTTGCCAAAATATGAAAATAAACTCGTGCAGTTTTTAGATAACAGTTCAAAAAAATTATCAGTAATTTTGATGCACTTGTGCAGTTACCTACGAAAATTGCACTTCATTTATTTATATTCTTTTATTTTCGAAAAAATTACTAATTTCCCCAATATTTCAAGACTCCTTTGCGTGAGAACCATACGAGCGACGTACAAAAAATTGTTAAGAGACACAAATAAGAAAATTGACTCTTACATGATAGTCATCTAAATTGGCGAACTCAACATTTTTGTTTCGTGGATATTTAAAAATCGACAAGCAACCTTGTAACTGCACATAACTGTGTACGCTCCCCGTTTAAAAATAAAATAATTTTTTAATAAGTTGAGTCTTACCTCTGACATGGTGATCATCTAATTACTTAAAGAGTCCATTCAATATTTTTGTTTTGTCCATTAATTATGTTTACAGGATGTATAATTATGTATACAGAACTCTGTAACATATAAAACGTGTACTCTCTTTCAGTTCAAAAATAATATAAATTTTAGGGAATTTGACGCTTATATGGTAACCATCAAATTATCTCGAAGGCTGTCTCCGGTTGCGCCCAGAATATAATTTCATGGAAATGGTTTCATTACTTAAGGAAAATTTAAGAAAATTGTAATTTTCCAGAAAATTTGTCCTATAGGTATTCTCGCACGATTAGAGAATTGTGCACGAGTGCACCATCCTGTTGAAACCAACAGTTTTTTGTGTGTGAGATATTATACAGTTGGATTCGAGGTTGGATCCGTAACAAAAAATGCCACTCAATACAGTATATACTGTTTTTACGGTTCATATAAAAAAATAAATCTCTCAACGGTGTCTTGCATATCTCAAAAAGTGGCAATGAGAAAGTGCCATAAATATTTTTGTATGTACTTATACACTGTACACTTAATTTATTTTTGTAAAAAATCCTTTTTTTAATGATATCCTTAATTTTCAGAATTACTTTTTTGAGACCCTAATCATTAGTCTTATACAGAACTTAGGAAAAGGCGTAATTCAAATGAATTTAATTTTCGACATCGAAATTAATTGTGAATTCAATTACCTACCTCCAGTTTTCTCGGTGAATTGCGAAACCTTGATAATATTTTAATTTGGATACACTTTAATTGAGTCGATGTGTAGCTACTTAACCTAACGTCTACAAAAAAAGTTCACTTAAATAGCTTTCTAAAAATGTTTATCACCGGGAAACGCGAAACAAGGAAAAGATGTTTTTGGGAATTTCTTTAGGATAAACTTATACTTACTTTGCGGAGAAATAACGGCATTTTACATGGGATGGGAGTATGTAGACAAATTAACATTAACAAAGAATGTGTGCACCAAAATAGGGAAACAGCTTGTATACCTAGGTCGATTTTTGATATCTCAGCTTTTATTTTTGAAATTGGTATAAATCAGTGCATCTTTTCAACATTTGTGGATATTTAATTAACCCTTGGATCTCAAAAATTGAGAATTATACCGCTGAAAGGCTGGAATAATACACCTACCTAGTTAATATAGTGTTTCACATCAATATAGAAAACAAGCGACAAACATAGACGAACAGTTAGTCCCTTGACCATTACTGAAAACAGAATTTGAAAATTCGAAACGGTTGGCAAGTTACCATGTACACAGACGGACGGACGGACAGAAAGTTCAAAATCATGAACGAGCTGGGTCGCTCGATAATAAAACATTGAAAGATTTATTAAGGTGAATATTCCGGGGATGAGATTCCTTTATGTGATTATACTGGAGTGTTCCTAGAGAAGGATGGTGCAATTTCTAGGGAGGAATTTACCTTGGGTGAAATTTTTGTTTTTGCTACTAGAGTTGATTGTCAGTAGAAGTTTCGTACATCATGATTATAAAAATTATGAATTAATCGCGGAATGTTCATGAAACTATGCGAATAGAGGTAAGTTCTGCCCATAATAGTATATTAAATTAATATTAAAGTGGGCCCCTAGATCAGCTGTATCAGAAGTGAGAAACAATGTACCTGAACAATGTATTAAGCAGCAGACACCAGAATTTTCTGATGAAACTTCTGATGTTGTCTCACATTTGCTTTCAAAAATCGTTCCATTTTGGAAACAGCAATTAATGAAATGAAACCGAGCTAGCTGAAAATACCCAAGTCCCATGGCTTAACCCTTGCCTAAAGCATTGAATAAAAACAATCTTCATTCAATGCCTAAAGTAAATAGAACACGAATTGAAAATTGACACTAAAACTCCTTTATTAAATTCTACCTACATTAAACTCAATTTTTTCAGCACAAATTACCCGCTACGGTAAATCTGTCTGAGCTGGAAAATAAGCCTTTTTCTGTGAAAATTTGACACATAACATCACATGAAATCAAGTATACGAGTAGGTGTCAATACGTGACCTAAAACTGCAGTGTTCAACTTCTAAATAAGAACTTTATTTATCGGTAAGGCCACTTAAGTTCTACAAAGGCAAAACACACACACCACTTAAACTCCAAATCCAAAATTTTATAATATGGACTTGGACTATCAAGCTCATTCGCGACCCAAGGTTGGTGGACTTCATACAGTTCATCTAGATACGTGAAACAACTTTCGGCAATCTATGCGACCGTAGTTATGTGCGCTAATTGCATGATTATTAATAAACACTACAGCAGTTTCCTATTTATAGCTAGAGATAAAAATGGATATGTAAATATTTATGTTGTCATAAGTCTAGAGTAGCATCTAGGTAATTATATTTCAAGGTGTCATCATTGTATAATTTTTGTTACAGAACTGGCGGCCCAATGTGTGACGGGGGCTTTAGTGCCGCCGAAGGTCTATCGCGAATGGCATCCCTCGGCGGAGCGGCCTTGGGCGTACCTCAAGGACTTGCGGGACCGCAAACACCGAAAAAACATCAAGACGATCACATTAAAAGGCCCATGAACGCGTTTATGGTCTGGTCCAGGCTGCAGAGGCGGAAAATTGCTCAAGAGAACCCGAAAATGCACAACTCGGAGATTTCAAAACGATTGGGTACGTTTACTCTTAAACAACTGCGCCCATTCTCGACTTGATTAAATCTCTTCAGATTTGAATACGTAATACAGGTTTTTGAAACTAGTGACCAACCCAGGCCATAGTCAAGATAGCATACCTACGTGAGTAGGTAGAGGTGCATATGAAAACACTCCAGTAAACGAAGTATCTGTGAAACGGCAGCTGTGAACTGTCACTTGTCGATCCCGCTTTACTCAATGATCTGAATATAAAATGAATAATGCATATGGTCGCCTCGGTGTATAAACACAGCGTACAATATGTTATGATATGCTATTTAAGGGTGAAATTCTATTTAAAATGTGACGTTTACAGGATACCAATTCAAATCCTTTTCATATGCAAAGCCCACTTTTATAAAGTTTTAAAATTCATATCGAGTTTATTACGTTCGACCAACCCCCTTCACTTCAGTCATTTTCATTTAGGATTAGATGGACACGCATTGTTGTAGTTTTATATTCCTATTATTCTTAACCCATTTATCCCTCAATGGGTTATTAGCACATTCGGGTGAATTTCGACGTGTAAGTATCCAGAAAAAAATTAGCGTTGTGCCTTTTGTAGGGAAGGCATTAAATTATCTTTCATTCAAAATGGGTATCTCTAAGTGAACAATGAGAACCCATCATAGCTTGTAATTAATTCTTATCTCGCTTCAGGAGGCACAAAAGCTGCTAGAGCTTTACAAAGTTCGAGACACAAAATGACAAAACACAGAACAAAAACCAGTGTAATGTAATACAGCGTCGCTATTGGGTGAGCCAATCGCCCGCTTTATTGTTTCTCCAATAAGAGAGCAGGTGCTCGCATTCTCGACAATGCAGCGGATCTATAACGTTTTATACCAAGTAAATGAATATTAAAGTAGAGCTTTGTTCATTTTTGTTAAATTTGCATCGACTTTGATCTATGTTTGTTTAGAATTTCCGCGCCGCGTTTCAATTTTAATCAGTTTAATTCACTATACCCACCTTGTTCATTAATTATAATCGCATTTCCATTTTCTTTTGTTTTGCTCATTAATTAGTGTGATTGGATCGATTACATTAACTTGTTCCAGTTTCCCCAAGATGAGGTATACTTTATCGTGCTATTGTAGACATAACCTTTCTAGCTTGCAGCTGATATTGATCTTGGATATCAGCTAATACGGAAAGGATGTACCTATCGCTACATTCTCATTTATTCAAACCGTGTTCGTTCCATACATTAATATAAAAGGTCCAACCATGGTGGCCACGTTAAGTAAATGCCTTAGTTCGGACAGAGAAGAGAAATGTACTGAACGGTTACTCAATTTTGGTCAGTGCCGTTGCCGTACATTTTTGGAGGTTTAATTTCGAGTGTATTTGCCCAAGGGAACGTCATCTACTTATACATAACTAAATTCTAGATTTTATAAACGTTTTCTCGCGTCACAATTTTTCTGAAATGTCCGTATAAAGGGATCTATAATCATGACCGCCAATGAAGCTCGGAATACACTTTTTTAATAACAGTATTTCAAAAATGTTGAAAATGAAGGGCTGGACAAATTTTTGTGATAACCCCTGGCATTGAGTTTTCGAGGTTAGGTATTCAAGAATATTCTAAAATTCTATCTCTACACCATGACCACTCCTTTTACCTGGAATTTATTATTATTTATTTATTATTAATTTTACCTGCCGGCCCGTGTGCTGCAGTTCAGTTGAAGCTGGCCTGCGGTGCTAAGGGTCCCTGGTTCGGAAATGATATTTGTAAATGTACAGTGGGTTGGGGTGGTAGAGCAACCTTTGCTGAAACCCCGGCCACTCAAAAATAAAGGCAAATAAATTAAAATATTATTGTGGTTATTGGTTTGACTTTTGTAGTTCCAACGGTCATAAGAGTTCCAGTGTTTCCAGTGAAATAGGTAGTGATTCTCGCAAGACAAGACAAGACAAGAAATGGCTTCTTATCTTGTCTTGTCTTGTTTTTTGCAAATTTATTTCTGCCACTTCTGGTCTTGGTTCTTGTCTTGTCTTGCAAATTTTTGCAAGAAGTTGGTCACTTCTTATCTTGTCTTGTCTTGCAAACTTCTTGCAAGTCTTGCGGTGTGTGACTGTTTGGTATAGGAATTTACTCATAATAATAATGTCGGTTAAGCAACCTCTTTGTCATTAATTTTGCGAATCAGTATCAGTAATACTTCACAAATATTGTGCAAAATTTTACGATGGAAATGCAAAAAGAATCCAGAATTTTTGAAATATTTTGTTAAAAAAAATGCTAAAAATTGGATAAATGAGAATATCACTATTTGATATTAAATTCGAACCCATAAATTTTGTGAGTAATAATAATAATAATAAATGACTTTAATAGACAATTTCTATACAGAGCCTGTCTAAATGGCGGAGTTCAGACAGGGATATCATCCGTGTCTGCTCTTCCACTCAACCTTTAATTTATTTTATGTTAGTGTATTTAACTAGACAGGTCATGATACATACTAAAAGTGAAACAAAAAATGGAGTAGTACATCTAAAACTCAAGAAACAAGATAATTATATATACACAATTAAGATGTGGTTTACAAAGTAAGCTGTTAATTGTTTTTAACACGGAAATATTTTACATATTTATTATGTTTTTAGGATGTTTTTAGGAGGAGTCGACGAACACTAACTTTGAATTTATCTGGTACATAACATTTTACATCTGCTGGCAAAGTATTATATACATGAGCAATCGCGTACGAATATGACCTCTGAAATATTCCTTTTTTATGCTGCGGAATGGTTATGTGGTCTTTACGGCGAATGTTAATGTTATGTACATCTGTGCGAAAAGTTATTTTGTTATAAAGATAAGGAGGTGACTTAAAGGTTACGATTTTGTGAAAAAGAACGGAAGCACGAAGTAAGCGTCTTTTCTCCATGTTTAACCATTTAATTTCTGATAATTTATGTGAAATGGGTAGCCTTCTCCTGATACCAAAGATTAGTCTTAGGCACGATTTTTGTACAACCTCTATCCTTCTAGAATTACGGTCAGTGAGACAAGGGCCATACACTGTAGAACAGTGGCTGAAATGCGAAAGAACCAGAGAATTACATAATAGAATTTTTGAATTTGAATTTAGAAGGTGCTTAATCCCATAAATATACCCCAATCCCGCGTAGGCACGTTGTATACACACCTTGATATGTTCCTCAAATCTTAAAGTAGAGTCTATAATTAAACCAAGGTTTTTAACATTATTAACAAATGACAAAGACCGATTGTTGATTTGAATATTTAACTTAGATATTATCTGTTCCCGATTGAATAAATTATGTGTTGAGCCAAATAAAAGAATTTTACTTTTCTCCGCATTTATATGTAGTGAGTGATCTGTGGCAGATTTAATAAAGTTGCTTAGATCCGTGTTAATAATCGCATTAGCGGTATCTATGTTGCACTCTTCAAACCCATAATATAATTGGGTGTCATCCGCGTAGGCGTGATAGTTTACGTGTTTTATTGAAGTAAAGATCTGGGAAGTATAAATAACAAAAGAGGCCCAAGTATTGAACCTTGAGGAACCCCATAGTGGATCGATTTGCGACTAGAGGCTAATTCATTATTGACAACTATTTGGGCTCGGCCATGTAAATAGCTTGATAGTAATAATATACAATTTTTTCCTAAACCTATGTAATGCAATATGGAAACTAAAATGTTATGATTAACCGTATCAAAGGCTTTCGTGAAGTCTAGTAGAATTAAAACTATAATCTTATTTTTGTCCATATCAGTAATGATGTCATCTGTAACCTTTAATAGTGCAGTTTCACAACTATAACCACTTCTGAATCCAGACTGTAAACAAGGCAAAATGTTAAATTTCGCAAGGTGTGACTCTAATTGAAGGTACAACACTTTTTCGTATATTTTTGATAATACTGGCAGTATACTGATAGGTCTCAGATCTGACATGTTCTCGGGATTACTTTTTTTAGGTAGAGGATGCACCATGGAAACTTTCCAACAATCTGGGAATACCGAATGTTCCAATGAAAAATTTATTAAATGTATTAAAACAGGGAGCACTGCAGAGGGACAGCACAGTTTCAACATTTTTAAAGATATGTCATCTATTCCCGCCGTATTTGACTTAATTGAGTTAATAATTGTAAGAATACTGTTTGCATCAATCATGGTAAATTCAAATTTATCTCCTACTGGCACGACACAGTTTGATCTATAAAAATGTACTAAAGTACTGTTGTCTTTCGACTTATTTTTCACCGAAGATATAAAAAAATCATTTATGTCATCGACATTATCAAAATGAGAGGGTAATTTAGTGTCCTTATTTTTATGTGCAAGACCTAGGTTTCCTAATTCTTTGTAAATATTAGTTTTGAGAGAAATATTTTTCAGTTGATATTCAAGGTACGCCCGTTTCTCTATTATAATGGCAGTATTCACTATAGGTTTCGTAACATTTTATAGTATCGCCAGTGACCAGCATCCTTGGTTTTACGAAATTTTGTCCCTGCATTATCACGTAATTTCATCATGCGTTTTAGAGTATCCGTTAACCATGGTGCTACCTTTTTCGTTATCCTTGCTTGCCTTCTTGAAGCGTGAATGTTAAACAAATTAACTATTGCACTATTAAAAAGCGTTACCTTATCATTAATATTCGACATTTGATAAAAATTATTCCAATCGATGCACTGAAGATCCATAAGAAATCTATCGAAGTCGATTAAATTTAAGTTTCGATAAAACAATATGCTTTGAAACCTTTTTTGAATTGTCTGCTAACAAATCAACCGCTATCACTGCATGATCAGAAATCAAATGATTAATGTCAACTGAAACTGATTTAATGAAACTTACGGATGAGGATAGTACATGATCAATTAATGTAGAAGTAGTGGCCGTAACTCTAGTAGGTGTGGTTATCCGTTGTGAGATGCTAAACAGATTTAACATTTCTAAATACTGTTGAACACCGGGCTTATTTGGATTCAGCAGGTCTAAGTTAAAGTCCCCAAGACAAATGATATTGTAATCAATAGTTAAACAATGAGAATAAATCTCCTCAAATTCAGATACTCAGCATAATTGTGTAACGAGGGGGAACGATATATTATAACTATTATATAACTGGACAGTTTACTCACAATTTTTACAGCCAAGCATTCAAAAGTCGTTGGAGCTAAATTGATACGTGTGACATGGAAATTTCTTCTGTAAAACAATGCAATTCCTCGCCCTCCACATTCTTTATCACGCCGAACGTCATCAAATTGTATGAACGCATTAGGGGTATTATTACTTAACAAGGTTTCGGTGTCTCCTAAAACATCAAATACTTTATCGTTGTTTATAAAATACTCTGTAAACTTATCATAATTTCTTATTAATGATCTTGTATTCAAATGTCCTATTTTCATACTCCAAGATCAAAAGCACTAGATAAATGTAAAGTATACAATGCAACAAGCGCTAGAACTCAATTATTATAGATACAGAAAAAACTATAAACTTTGACTGTCCACTTTGTATTATAAAAACCTAGCCAATTTCTAATTTAATTTGTTAACATATAACATGAAAAGTGAAATACAAAACAAACAATATTTCAACATAAATTCCAATATAAAAGTAAAACAGAAAACGTAACACCTGTTTTTGATTAAGTAAAAATAAAATAAAGTAAGATTCAAAAAATGGTGTATCAAAAACATAACATAATTCCCAAAAACAAAAAAAATACAAAATTATTAGATATTACTCATAATTAAATAAAAAGAAAAATGATTGTTCTAATATGACTATAAATACCGATTACAATTACACAAGTAGTATCAATACTGTTCAACCTTCTCTATGTATTCACTTTTTGTTTTCCGCTTCTGGTAACTACTCCGGTGGCACTGGAAGTTTTGGTTTTCGACATAATCAAGGATAATTGTTCACGTGTAGTAACACTTTTTTTACCGTCCTTTGAGTTGATAATTATTCGGCCATCAGAAGTCCACACATTTTTCTTCTCAAACGCCCCCTTTGCTTCAAGTAAAAGTGCGTAGCGTTGTTTTGTTAACGATTCAGTTATCATAATGTTAGAACCCTTAAGATTCTTTTTGTGCGTCCAAACCTTTTGACGATCATAATAAGATACCATTTTTATTATTATTGGTCTATTTTTTTGAGAGACTGCAGAGTTTGTGCAGAAGTTCAAATGGCAACCTTTAATGTTGAAAAATATTATGCTAACCGAACTTACTCGCTCTTTAGCTTTCATGGCAGTGGCAGTAACACTTTACCTGAGTACTTTTCCTGTAGCCTGTTACTTTACCAGATTCTTTTTCCTGCCGCCTCGTATATTACATTGGCATAGACATTGTTAATGTCTATAATGGCTCACTTGCCAGCACTTTATTTTATTTTTGGACGCGGATTTTTGCCCGAACCCGGATTCGAACCAGGTGCCTTTAGTGCCGCAGTGGTGCTTCCACGCTACTGCACCACTCAGGCCCAAATTTTATATTAAAAAGACAATTTCGGGAAAAATGTACCTGATACAAAACTCGCCAGTAAAGTGATACTATACTTGACTCCGAAATTAATTCAATTTAATTTTTCCTCGCCAGTAATGGTAAACTTCCCTGAGTTTTATGTAAATAATTATTATTAGCGCGATTACTCAAGCTAGCTATTTTCAAGCGCGTGAAGCAAATACGTATTTTCAAAATCTTTCTTTTCTTGTCTTGTCTTGCAAAGGTTCTTGTCTTGTCTTGCAAAGCCATGCAAGAACAAAAATCACTTCTTGTCTTGCGTAAGACAAGACAAGACAAGAAGCAAGTGCAAGAATCTTTATAGAAATAGGTACACCTTGTACTAAAAATTCGTTTAAAAACGTGAAAAATGAGGAGTTGGGCTGATTTTTGTGCTAATTTCTAGGGTTTTTTGAGAATATCATAGAGCCCTCCTAAAAAATACTAAATTTCAGGCGCATTACACGATTTATCTGCAGCGTCAGTATTAAGAGTTCTATAATTATACCCCGAGTACACTTCTGACTAGAAATACTGTAAAAACGTTAAAAATGAAGGGTTAGGGTAGTTAGGGTGGGTTAACTTTTATGATAATCTCTGGCATTGACAAAACACCAAAACAAACCCTAGCTAGCTATTTACCTTTTATTATAATTACAGCACAAAACTCTGCTCTCAGTTAAACTGTTAACTTCTAGTTCTAACAGATAGTGGGTTAACTCAAAACCTTAAACTCCAAACTGAACTGCAAAATTTTGAATAATTAAAATTGACCTTGGGCATATTGAACCAATTTCCTCATTCCTCGAGACTAATTACGACGCCAAATGAAAGGTAAATAGCTATTTAGGTAAAATGATATAGGAGTGCGGCAATCTCTTGAAATCGACAATCAATTTGCGCTCGAATTACACACAAGATTTTTTCTACAATCGAGCAGTTCACATATTTCCAAAAATTTAAATTTTTCGCTCAAATGAAAGATGTCATTTACTCGTCATTGGATACTCTGAGCAATGCATATTTGATTTATAGTTAATAATTGGGAGAGCGAGCGTTTTTTTTGTCGCTTAAGTGACAAAGTGACATTCCTCGAAAAAGATGACGTTTGCGTTGTCAAATACGAGCGCAAATGCCTACTTTGGATATCGATTGTAGAAAAAATACTTCTAAGTATAGCATTCTCTCCATGAGACGATTATCTCTTCTGAGCAAATTTTTTGCATTGGCAGTCTATATTAGGCGAGCTTTTTAGAGCCAAATATTTCTCAATTACTTGTAAAAATTATATATTAATCCGTTAAAAAAAATGGTTTATCTCATTCTCTGCAGGAGACGAATTTCGGTTGAAGCGCGAATTTCCTGAGAGGCGAATGCAGAACTTTTCTTAGGAGAAAAAATTCCGGAAGAAAGGTTAATGAAAATGTAATGTTATTGGATGCTTTTTAGAAAATCAATGTCTACTGTGAGCAACGAATATTATTTTGACTAAATTTCCTCAGGGAAAAATATTCTAAAATAACGACTCTAAGTTGCAGGAAACAAATTTGATTTTGACTGAATTTTTTAGGGAAAAGTATTCTGAAATTATCGCTCAAAACTCTCTTTGTGTACCACTGGGAGATCCATTGAATTAGATAGAGAATAGAAAGCCCACTCGATAGCATCACTCTCACCTAAAATTTCGTTAAATGGGTGTGAGGAGGGTGTCTTTGCACAAGGTTCATTCTTGCATATAATTGTGGAAACACAATTTTACGATTTTTTCTACAATCATCATATCAACGCGTCAAATCATGGCCGTTCTTTTTACTCATGCGCCTCGGCCGCAAACAGCAGCTTCGGCCAAAAAAGGTCACTTTTACGGGCTTGGTACACAGATAACTATTATGTGCGTTGAAAGGGTAACTTGCAGGTTTCAACAATGTCAAACAGTGAATAAAAAAATTTGGAACACATAAAATTTCCAACCCTCGTGATACTACATGTAAAAGTGAGTTTTCTTTATCAAGAAATGTCATTTTTTAAACTTTATGGATATTTAAAGGGCAACTGTTAAACGCTGTCAACAAAATCAAACACGGAAACAAAAATTTTTGAAGTCCTAAGAAATTACAGCCCTGGCTATAGGCGAGTACTTATGTAACAGTGTGTTTTCCTAAAAACGGAGGGGACTGAAACAAGGAAATAAAGATATTTGAAGTATCACAAAAAATTCAACAGGGATCATAAAAACAAAAATAAATTTCCATTTTTTTAACGAGAAAGGTACACAAAGAGTGACTTGTAACTCTAAACAAAATCAAACAACGTAATCAAAGTATCTGCGAATTACCACAAGAATTACAACCCTCGTAATGCACTTTTTTCCTTTTTCGTAAAGCTTTATGGATACAAACACTTCATTATTTTTTTGAGATGTGACCCCTTCTGGTAACACGAGAATATGTCAACTTTTTGACACCAAGATGAAACACATTTTAAATATCAATCTTTCTCCGATTTCGTGGAATCAAGCGTCCGTTCCCGTCTCTTTAGGGAGTCTAGGAATTCTTTCCATATGTTTTAAAAACAAATATTATTTTTTGTAATTATTCTTTAACTCTAAATAACTCTAAGTAATTCTGGCTATAATATAAATAAATTGTTAGTGCAGAAATGAAACAATGCTCACTTATGCAAAGAATAATACAATTTTGAATAGGAGCTTGAAATTGAGCAACATTTTGATCAAACGTAAGCATAATTAAATTACATTAAAAAAGGGCCAAGGGCATTTATAACTTGTTTTTAAATAGATGCGTCACATTTCTCCAATTAATACTTATGCACTATGCATCATATATGTATACCTAGACAAGGGTATGATTTTATATTCAGTCAATTTGTCTCGAAGCTAAATCCTCTAGTAGAATTGCGTTCCATTTACGTTCTGGAGTACAAACTTGTAATTCGAAAAGGCACAATTGTTCACTTGTATCTCAGTTTATACAATATACCAGTCACCAGCAATAATTGAAAATGATACTTCACGGCGATCCTTGATTACTGATAATAACTCAGTATATCCGCAGATCTTTTATTCTATCTCCGAAAATAAGATAAAGCAATCGCAGACAATCTCTTTGAAATGATGTAACTTGAAGTATCTATATTGCAAACAATGAACTCCAACAATGCCAACTAAGGAGACATCGCCGTTCCTTTTGTCTAATTCAGAGCATTTGTTGCGAATAAAAGACCAGTTTGAACTTCAAATCAATAGGAAAATATGACTGCTCTTTGTCATTATTCTGTCTATTATTATTGTGATTGTTATTTGCAAGAGATTTTTTCTCGTTTTAGGTTCCGAATGGAAATTGCTGACTGAGGATGAAAAGAGGCCGTTTATAGACGAAGCGAAACGACTTAGAGCACTTCACATGAAAGAGCATCCGGATTACAAATATCGGCCTAGACGCAAACCGAAAACGTTACGTAAGGAAGGTTATCCTTATTCGATACCATATCCTTCCGTGCCAATGGACGCGTTACGAGCAGGTTAGTGCGGTCTAAATTAATTCCAAATTGGAAATCAATTCAAAATTCGGTCAGCGGCGTCACGCCCTGTTCGAAAAATTCAAACAAAAGGAGATTAAGCCGAGTGCTGTACAAATATTTAACGTTTATAGCACCTAACCAACACAATCCCTGTAATAATTTGATTATGTTAATCGAGCGTATACAAAGAAGTAACCTGTCGGATACCTATAGTACAGTGAATCCCAACATTCCGCATTACTTGTAGCTTCAATGTTTTTAATTGAACTACGGTTTATAATTTGGATTCACGTTCTTAACTAAGATTTCCAGGTACTTCTTAACTTTCATCTTCACTTTCAAGGTGTTTATCCTTAAATTTTCACCTTTTCTATTATTTTGATCAGATTATCTAGTATCTAGATACTTAGCGAAAGGACTGTATGCGATTCTTTTCAAAAACTCTGCCATTTTCGAAAAATAAAGTCAAGACTTTCCACAACAACTAAACCAAAAATTAAAAACCTCGAACCACGAGCTGAAAGTGGGTTAAAAACCAAAAATTTGGGTGAACAGAGAACCTTATTTTATTTAAATTGACCGTCTGGTACAACCCAACAAGATTTATAGAGATTTATTTAAACAACAACAAGGTTTAGCGATCTCCTATTTCTGCTAAATTTGCTGCTTGCACTCGAAAATTTCACATTCGTAGCGAAAATGCTTGTGTTTGGGTCAAATTAAGTTAAATAACCCAGACCTATAAGGGCTTTCTACCCCTTTGTGATTTGACTAAACCCAGTAGCATGTCCACTCGACTTTTTTGAGAAAAGCTTTTTTTAACGAGTTTGCGTTGCCGAGAGGAGTCGATTGATCACATTTTCAGACCTTTGTTAGAAGTTCAGAAATTCGAATAGATAAGTAACCAAATATATAAATGCGTAGGTCCTACTTTCACTATGATTTTCTCTGGTTTTTGAAGCTGAGGATTTGTCGCAACCAGTCAATAAATGGGAGAACTATTGTGAGTTTGTCTTCCTTATTCTCGTACAAGCCGAGTTGATACTATTACTGAACTACTGAACACAGAATTGGAAAATTCGAAACCGTTCGTGAGTTATCATGTACACAGACGGACGAATGGACGGACGGGCAGACAGTCGAAAATCATGAACGAGCTGAGTCGCTAATAAATTAGAGGGTGTGATAACAATAACATCATAGTGGCAATAAACTTACTTACTTAACTTATTCAAGGCACTTTACTTTTGCGAGTAGCTATAAATGGAACAATTGATTTTCCAATTTGTAATTTAGTAAGCAAGTATAGGGCTGTTTGGCATTAAAACCATAGGGCAATTAGGCACTTTACTCTTGTAAATAGCTGGCATCCCTAACCATTCATACAGAATTTATCACCGCATTTAGGTAATTCGGAACATTGGTCAGTTTGATAATATTATGATTAATAATATTATTAATAATGTGGAATGATTAATTGGGGAGACTTCACCAATAAATATGGCTCGTTCAGACAATTCATTTTGCCTTTGTGGGAACTTTCCTCCGAAAACGCATTTTCGAGATATTCTCTCGTAAAGTTTTCATTAGGAGTCAAAAAGTAGGGTGGTGGTGGGTAGAAAACAGTTCCTTTTGTTGAGACCTTTAATTGGAATACCATGAAAGATAAAATTAATTTCTACCCCCTCCCTCCGCATGTAAAAGTTATGCACGTTTCACGTTCAAAAACCCACTGTAAAATAAAATAAAATAAAAAACATCTCAAGAAATAATTCATGGGGGGGGGGGGGGTCGCCTGGTACATCTTCAAGGTCTGAGCTACAAATTGCAAAAAAATCCAAGACCAATCTCTTAAAAGTAGGTCAGTAAGTACCGTATCGAAAGTATCCGCGACTTTTCCTTAACCTACCCATCACGGCCGAGTACGGTATAATCGTCACTTGATGCGACACCATTGTTTTTGGCTCTGGACGAAACTCGTAACTTTGTTCTCATATACCTACATAAACATTTTCAATGCTGGTAAAAACAAGATATCTTTTGCAGATAAAGCGCATTTTTTTTACTCGAAATAACTTAGTAAATAGCTGTACAAGGTAGTAGCTTGCTCGGCCAGACGACTCATTTTGCCTTTGTGGGTCCTCTCCTCCGACAATCCTCTCTTGAGATTATAGCCGTTCACGTTAAGGGCCGAGGGGGAGGAGTGTGGTTGCTAGAAATTAATTCCTTTCATGCGAGCCCGTTCATTAGAGTACCATGAAGAATAAAGGCAGTGCCCCACCCCCCTCCCAAGTTTGATAAGGGCAAGAGAGAAGGGCCTCCATTTTCTTAAGTTTGACATGGCACCACTAGGGGCATACCCTGGAGCATACGTATGCAGGATCTGAGACAAATTGGTTGTTGGCTCTAAAAGTTATGTACGTTTTACTTTTAGAAACATCTCGGGGAATAATTAATAGGTAAAACATTCCAGGCCTCTAGGACACTCCCCCTATAAGTAATTCAAAACCGCAGAAGTGGGTCCGGATAGACAGATAGACAGATGAACGGACGAGCGGGCAAGACGCTAAACATTTACCGATTGAGCGGAACAACAAATTCTATACGGCAGAAATAATTAAGAACTGCATTACATATGCGTATTCATCATTTTCTTAAAAATTCCATGATCGGGATGATCTCATTCTTTAACCCTTCAGTACACGCACTATGTTGGATCTGATTTTACCACTAATATTACAATGCCACCCAAAATGCAGTTACCACCATCGCCGGCCGGTGTAACATTTTCAAAGGGTAGGTTGATGGAAAAGGACCGATTTCTTAAAGAGCATGGGCCTCCCTATACAGGGTCATTCTTGACGAGCGTCAGTTAGAAAGATATGGAAAACCTTTGAAAATGAAATGAAACTGATAAGTCCTTTAAGGGTTTTGGCACATGATGAATTGAACTAAAATATTTTCAAGATGGCGCCACTTCCGGAACCCCATAGTTGACCCTTTGCTCCAAGGGCTTCGCCGATATTCAAGTTTTTATGTCAAAAATTGAATTTGCAGGGGTAATTTTAAAAATTTATTATTCGAAAACGGCGAGAGATATTGCAACACAGTTTTCACTGATTTATTAAAGAAAGATCGAATTTTCTTATGGTATGCGTAACAGTCTAAGAAAGCGAGACTACGTCACTTTTTCAAAGCTCTCAACTTTTAAACTTTTAAATATCCATAACTCCATTTTTTCAAATGGCACCCCCCATTTTGTTCTTCATCCTTGTTTTCCCTTTTCCTAGACCTTTAATTTGATACAAAATGTCAAAAGCTGCTTCAAACGGTTTCCGAGATATTCCATGTTTTAGTTACTTCTTGTAGAAAATTAATAAAAAAATTAATTCGCTTGATGTAATTCTTTTGTTTTTATTATGATAATGTTTAAAGGTCAAACTTGCAGGAATAACGGTATGTTACAAACAAAAATACAAAAAAAGAAGCCTGCGGTAGACTCTGAAGGACAAGAAATACCTAACAGCTGTACTGGCGTATTTTGCTGCAAATCCAACTGCATCGCTTAATGATATCCAAAGAGAAATTGACATATCAGACACGAGTGCACAAAGAATTCTCTGTACTGGCCTATTTTACAGTTATTTCTTGTTCTTCAGAGTCTACCACAGGCTTCCTTTTTTTGTATTTTTGTTTGAAACGTACCGTTATTGCTGAAATTTTGTATTAATTTGCGAATTATAGCCTCTGTGGGTTGCGCCTTGTCAGGGTATCTTTCGGAAAAAAGACGGCAAGTCCTGGCCGCTATTCGATTATATTCACCGTGTATTAATATTAAATTCAAAAAATCTTCATTAGTGTAACCCAAACGAGCCATTATTGACGAGAAGTATAAGTTCAAGCAGCAAAAATTTGACGTTTCGGAAACCGTTTGAAGCAGCTTTTGATATTTTGTATCAAATTAAAGGTCTAGGAAAAAGGAAAACAAGGGTGAAGAACAAAAGGGGGGGGTGCCATTTGAAAAAATGGAGTTATGGATATTTAAAAGTTTAAAAGTTGAGAGCTTTGAAAAATTGGCGTAGTCTCGCTTTCTTAGACTGTTACGTATACCAAAAGAAAATTCGATCTTTCTTTAATAAATCAGTGAAAACTGTGTTGCAATATCTCTCACCGTTTTCGAATAATAAATTTTTAAAATTACCCCTGCAAATTCAATTTTTGACATAAAAACTTGAATATCGGCGAAGCCCTTGGAGCAAAGGGTCAACTATGGGGTATCGTTGTACTCCAAATTCGACGTAGAATCCGAAAATGTAGAAAAAATAGGGGACGCCTATTTAAAATAACAAAGTTGATAGCTACTTCCGGTATTTCTGGAAGTGGCGCCATCTTGAAAATATTTTAGTTCAATTCATCATGTGCCAAAACCCTTAAAGAACTTATCAGTTTATCTTCATTTTCAAAGGTTTTCCATATCTTTCTAACTGACGCTCATCAAGAATGACCCTGTATAGGTACTACACCGTTTTTGTTGTTATGTCCATATTTCATTCTATTTAACGTAGTAGTAGTCTTCGGTCGGCTATCTGGACCCTCGAAATAAAAGATCATCAGAATGGGTATTCAGCAAAACGGCTGTGTGGGTAATTTATCCGATTTTCTGTAACAAAATTTTGTTTTAGAGAAATTCCTCTAAGAAGCTCTCGGCCATTTGTTAGTCACAAAGTAAATGAACAATGCTGATCTGCAAATGATGCTGTTTTTGTAATTTGCTATTAATTCAGCCTTACAAGTGGCTCCTATATAGATAATTAGGATTAATTTGCACCAGAGGCGTTAAAAAACTAAAATTTCGCTTTTGAATGTGACCAAAAATTATTGAAACCGGCACTTTAACATATTTTGTAAAAAAATTTTGCCAATACCAAATAAATTCGGTCCTAGAGACGATAAGGATAATTAATCATAAATATTGATGCATCTCAGTGCCTTCAGGGATC